TTTAGTTAACTAACTTTTTTTTAGTTATTATTATTATTTTATAATATATAATTATATATATTATTTTGTTGTAAGGGTTATTATTTCCTTGTAAGGAAAATCTACTCAAGATGTCATTAGTATCCTCAAAATTTGTCAATCACTATAGTAATAGAGAATCACAAAATGGTTCAGGTTGGAAGGGACCTTAAAGATCATCTAGTCCAATCTCCCTGCCACATTGCTCAGAGCCCTGTACAACCTGACCCTGAGCACTGCCAGTGATGGGACACCCACAGCTTCTCTGAGCAACCTGGTTGTGTCTCACCACCCTCATCACAATCACTTTCTACTTGCTAACCTAAACCTGCCTTCTTTCCATTTAAAACCACTGCCTCCTGTCTTCTCAATACAGGCATTGGCAACAAGTCTCTCTCCACCCTTTTTATAGGCCCCCTTTATATACTGAAAGGCAGCAATAACCCTGGAACCTTTCCCTCCCTAACAATCTCAGCTCCCCAAGCTAAAGAACCTCAGCTCTTCCAGCCTTTCTTCAGAGAAGAATGTTTCCAGACCTCTGACAACTTACGTGGTTTTCCTCTGGACTTGAATGCATTACTTCAGGTGGGGTCACACTAGAGAAGAGCAGAGGAGGAGAGTATCATGACAGTGTCTTGCTTCTGTTTGCTTCAGAGGTCCTTTGATCCTCTGCACTGACTTTTAAATGTTGTACTTGATTTTGTTTCAAATATGATCTGACTTCAGTGAACAGATTTTTTTTGTTTTCTCCAGCATCTCACAGAAACAGAATGATTGATGTTGGAAGGGACCTCTGGAGGCTACCTTGCCCAAGCCTGCTGCTTAAACAGGGCCACTTGGAGCCCTGGACCATCTCCAGACTCCACTACCTCTATGGAAACATGTGTTGGTGTGTGATCATCTGCAGAGGAGAAAAGGTTTCCCTGATATTCAGAGGAAACCTCACATGTTTCAGTTTGTGCCCATTTCTTCTTGCCACTGGGCACAAATGATAAGAGCCTGGGCCCATTCTCTTTGCACCCTTCCTTCAGGTATTTATATAGGTCAATAAGATATTCTCTTTTCCAGGCTGAGTAGGGCTTCAGTCCCAGCTCTCCCAGGCTTTTCTCTTAAAAAATGCTCTAGTCTCTATTATAACCTTTTTCTGGACACTCTTCAGTAGTTCTCTATCCCTCTGGTATTGGGAACATATCGAGCTATACTCTTCCTATAAAATTCTATAAAACCTTTTAAGATATTTCAAATAAAAGTTACATATAAGAGGCTTTGGGATACCTTTCCCTTTCCCTTTCCCTTTCCCTCCCTTCCCTTCCTGCTAACTATGACTGTAATATTTTCTTGTAATTTTCTTGTAATATTAACTTGATCCTAAGGTCAAAAGATTATGGGAGAGAGGCAGCTAAGTTTTTTCAGCTTTCAGGGCATTCATATAATAAAGACATCCAGACAAGGCCCTCACTTTACATTTACCTAGCCTGTGCCAGACTACAATTTCTGAGACTTTTTTGTAATTAAGCCTTTCAATTGGGATTATGTTACAAAGGAAGACGTGGTAGGTAGTTCTGCTACTGCTAACAGAATAATAACCAGCCATTTGCAAAAATGGTGTTGGATTAGTGTGTCTTCACACAGCTTGCATGCAAGTCTACAGGGGGCTCCAAAACTCTTTGCAGCGCTGTTTTGGATTAAATTAGCATAATGCAATTTACATCAAAAACAATTTCTGAACATATCCATTTTTCTTCCTATACTCAATCAGGAATGAAGGAATGAAAGAAGGGAACAGAGGAAGGAAGAAAAGGATGATAGTACATTCATTGATTCATTCATCATTTCTTTTTCCATTTTTAGACTGTTGAGATAATTTCATCTGCTTTCATATGAATTATAATTAATAGCATTAATAAGGTGCTTAGTCTGCATTGAAAGAAAATTAATATTATTAGCCAGAGAATAATTCTCTAAGGCATGTCACATGCAGTGACATTATAACTGTGAATTCTTTCAACATTGAATTCTGTTATACACATATCATCAGTATGAAAAAGCAATAGACATACATGGTCCCAAAGCTTATCAAGAGGCTTTGTATTTTAGATTTTTGATGTAGATTGTAATAATACTATTCAGTATTGGTTTAACAAGTCACAAACAAGAAATATTCAAAGAAGTATTTTATTCATGTGTCTTTTGGGCTTTTCTCCTCCTAATATTACGATTGCCTTACAAATAATTATCCAATTTGGTATTGATTTTCAATAAATAAACAAATGAAAATGGAATAATTTCGTTTTAATTCTGAGTCTTGAGTGGACTTTTCCTTCTTACAAGTAAAGCTTTTGCTTTCTCCCTTGAAAATGGCACCTAAGTCTTTCTGATTCCATCTAATCTCTCAAATGAGGAATAATGTTTCAGCTGTATTTCATTGTTCAATCTTTATGTTTTTTTCATCACTGGTACCTGGCAATACTTCTACTTCCAACTTCTACTCTTTTCTACTCCTTTTTTTTTAAGTCATCCACAAGAGTCTTCCACAACATGTCTCAGTCAGCAGAAAACACTGTAAATTTCTTTTAGAACTCAGTCTTGGTGTATTTTTTCTGCCAAAGATGAAAGATTTCTGATGTTGCTCTATAAAGTGGTTTTCAATGCGCTCATATTTTTTTCGTGTGCTGTGTTGTCTTTACTTAGAAAGTCTTGCATATTGTTATATCTGGGTATTTTGTTCTTACTGCTTTTGTGAGCTACATTCACCTGTACATAAATACTAATTCCTGTCAAGTGAATGACAAAACCTCCATTTTTGAAAAGCTTACAATATTCACTTTTTCATCTTTTCTAGACAATTTTATTTTTAACTTTTCTACTGTAGCATCTTCAGAGGCCTTTCCAAGAGCATACTGATTACTGACATCAGCAGTGCAGTGAATCAATCTACCTTCTCTGATGAAGCTGATGCACTAAAACTGGCCTTTTCAATGGAGGTTAATGGAAATAAGTATTCCCTTCAACTGAAAAACAGAAAAGCTATATTATTCCTCCAGATTCATTTGGAAATGACAGCCATAACTTTTTTTTTTTTTTTCCATCAGGCTAATAATGGAGAAGAAAGCAGCAGAGGAACTAAACACATTTTCTACATCCTGGAGCAAATATGTCATCTCTCATCAGCAAGATCTTACCAGACATAAGCAAAACTGAGTAAACAGATCCCAACTGAGAAAAAAATTGTTACTTTTATGCTAGTAAATGTCAGCTGTGGATCTGTTTCCTGATCAAGCTAGCTCTACTGCCCCTGCTGCTCCTGTAACAAACAGGAAAGGACAATACATGCAGAATTGTGTATCTCTCTAAATTTGTTCTAATTTACTATTTACTAATTATCACCATTAAATTATCACCATTATATCTCTGATTTATCTGAAGCTTTTTAAATAGCATGCTTTTGCCCTACAGTTTTGACACTTCTCCTAAAAGCCTGTGGTCATTCTGGAAAAGAGCAGTGGTTTTCAATCTGTTATCACCTCTGCATCACTAAATAGCCTGAAACAGCAGCATGTCAGCTACCCTGCTTTCCAACTTGCTGTTTAAACCCTAGAGACACTCTCTGGGACAGTAAGGAAACTGCAAAATGCAATGGCAGCAGCAAATAACCAATTAAGCTGGAATAAGCTAAATATTGTGCAACAGAAAAAGAAACAGGAAATAAAATAAAGACAGTAAAACCAGCTAATGCCCAGCAGATTGCTACAATGTGGATGCAAACATAAATTATAAGACATTATTCTTCTATCTAATGCAAGTACTCAATTGATCAAATGCTGGTGGCCACTGATAGACATGGTAAAGTTTCAGATACAACTGGAAAAAAACAAAACCTGCTGTCTCTTTACCAAACATGATTTACAAAAGAGTGTTGTTCTGTTATATCCTATACTGAAAATCCTTCCTAAGCCCATTACAGTTTCCTACAACAGTTTTCCCTATTCCTGTAAATACTGCAATAAGTACATTACAAATCACTAACTATGCTGTGCTGCCTTTTGCCCAGTATTTCTGCAACTAGGCTTCTTGATGCAAAATATGCAAAGAATACATGTTTAACTGCACATGCTGGCATAATTTATGTAGGCACCAAAGCTAAATATCTGTTTATAGCAACTTAGTCAGAAAGCTTTCTTGAAGAAAGACAATTTGCATTGACTTGTACTGAGAAGAGAATCAACTTGTGGTATACAGGAAGAAGGACCATAAAGTCACCTTCAGCGCTTATAATACTGCTGTTCTACCATATGATTATTTCCAAATATGAACTGTTACTTGTTTTCACAGGTGATAATATCTGGAATCAGAGAAACACTTCCATACAGCTAGAGATACAAGAAACCTGTTGAAAGATTCAAGGACCAATTCCTCTCCAGCCTCAGAGAGATTGGAAGGCTCTGAAAGGCAAATTCACTGTTTTTGACTATTCTCCATAAATAGAAGTGGACCTCATCTTAGTGATTTCAGTAATTCAGAGAACTCATTGAAACAATTAGCAAATTACTTTTGTTATACAATTCATTTGAAAATATTTTGATCCTGCTATCATATGATCACTTTTTAAATTATTATATTGTTTTATAAGGATAATCTGAATAGGCCAGATGCATTCTGGAGCTCAGAGGGTTGGATTTAACCACTCAGCTTCAAAAATCCACAGTTAGATGTCCACATCTCTGCTACGTCCATGCTATATAGACCACCCGCACAGTCAGAGGAGGGAATGGGCTTTTGTAGGATACAATAAATTTGGCAATAAAGTAGATATTGCAAAAACTCAGATTATTGTGCTTTCTAAATGACTGTTTCTTTCCCCTAAGTCTAAAGGACAAGTATGACAGATATACTGTAGACACAAATGGCTGGTCTCAATTTGGTGAAGATAAACACAAGTCATCATGAATTCCTTCCACTGCTGTTAGAAGCGTGTAACATACCTACACTCCAGTCCATTTCCTCCACTGCATCACCATATAACCCATGCTTGCTCTTTCCTTTGAAACTTTCTGAAGCATATAGAGCAGTATGGACATGAAGATAAGAGAGGACAAGAAGAAATGGTGTACCAGTGTTCCTGGAAAACAAAACAAACCAAAATAATAAACCCTTAGTATATTTTATAATGAGATTTCTACAAATAAACCTTTCTTCAATAGAGTTAAAATAAAAGGTTCCCTGTCTCCCCGTAAACAAACAAACACCAAAACAAAACAAAAAAAGGTAAAAAAGAATACTGTAATTGATTATATTGGTCATTCTGAATAAACACACACCCAGTAAAAATGCTATGCTTTTACTGAATTGAAAGCAAAAATTAATGAAAAAATCTATCTAAATACTATTTGCTATATATATTGAAAAGGGACTTGTTTAAAGGTAGGAATCTAAATGTTTCTGAACACAAACACCTCTTATCATTTTACAATTTTATTTTTAAAAACCTGAATAAAATTTCTGTTCAAAACATACCCTCAGCACTACATATCTATGTGAAAACACAATATCCTTCCTCACAAAGTCACGTGGAAGCTGATCAACTAAACTGTTATGGGGACCTGGGTCTTTATTCTGGACTAAGGTATATGACCAAATCTCTTTTCTTTCTAAGCTCTGTATGTATATGCATGTGACTACATAACCTCGAAGTCATAGCAATATGAAAATTTGTCTTAGCAAAGTAACGAACAATTGTCTCAATTGTCTTCTATTTTCTTAACAGCTACAAAAGAAAGAGTGCCATAAATAGACTGTAAATTTTGCTGTTCATGTGATCTGTCAACACAATATTTATGATCAGTTCCAGCAGACTGTGAAAGCACAGCTCAAACAAGTACTTCTTGCATTATTTATACTACTTTACTTAAAATTGTGCCGTACTAGCCAAATTTACTGCTATATGCTCTAGAAGCATTTGCAGTATTTGCATATTGCAAATAGCAGCCGAACCACAAAAGCACTACCCACAAAACTTGTCTGGATCTCACCTTAGAGCACACAGCTAATTGCAGACTACTTTTAGTTTTATTTATCATATTTTCCCTCACAAAGCTGTGGTGGATAATACCTGTGATTCACATCAGCATCAAAGGGAGACAATGTATTTCCTCAAGCAGTTGGTTCATCCATCCTTTAAAGAGAGGAGGCCCAATACAGACATGCTTGTAAAACCCATTTCTTTAAAATGAACAAAAAACATCCTAACATTTTTAGAACTTGAAAGCAAAGTCTTTAAGTCAAAGAGATTAATGTGATATCAATTCTTTCCTCTTAAAGAAAAATAATTAAGTTTAATATAGTATATTTATGATCTATTTTTCCTCTCTCCTTGGTTTGATCTGTTTTGTCACAACTTGCACGGTTAAAGCTTTTTTTCTACTGGCACATACAGTAGTAAATAAACACAAAATAGGAAATTTTTATCCATATTACTCATTTGATAAGTGTTTTCTTGATAGGAATTTTTCTTCATAAAAAAAATCTCCCCTTTTTAAGGAAACTCAGAAGAAATATGGAAAATAGATAAAAAAATATTTTAATTCTCTTACAAACATTTGTGCATTAATCCTCTATGACCTTTTTAATATAAAGTACAGATCCAAAAAATTTAAGACAATGTTTTTCATAAAATATACACTTTCCATGAAGTTGTTTGTCGCTATTTGAAAGGTCATATATGTGAGAAATTTTCACAATTGTAGCAACAAAGAAGAGGAGATCCCTGAGTCAATTAAAAAGGCTTAAAATATCACCAATTGAATTAAAAAAAAAAGAGATATACTTTAAAGTTACATATTTAATATATACATAAATGTAATACTGACCTTTCACTAGAGAACTTTTCTGCAAGCCAGATGATTTTTGTTTTACAACTTACATTTTTTAATGCCTGGGATTATTATTGACTTTTTCCTTAGAAAGTTCACTGAATTGAGAATAATATACAAATTCTAGGGTAAAACACCACAAAAATTATTTTGTATTTTTAATATTGCCACCTAAATTTAATTTTCATGCAAACTACCTTGTTCTAATGCCATAGAGACACTGCATTCTCATAACTGCCTACTTGCTTTGCTAGAAGTATCAATAGCTTCCATTACAAATGTTATTTTCAGGAGGTAATAATTCAAGTTTGTTTGTTGTTTGTTGAACTCACAGAAGATCTAATTTTCATGAAGAGTCATCAAATCAATGATTGATATGGAAGGGCACTACATCATTCTCTTTTTTCCAACTAAAATTGACGGTTTTTGATTGACACCTTGCTGTTGGGTGGAGAAGTGTCTCACCTATTAATATCCTATAAAAGATCAGAGGCAGCTATTTATCTCCTGCCAAAACACTTTGAGAAGAATCACAACTGAATACCTTTACTCTGACCTTGAAAATGGAATGACAATACCAGCTAGTAGGCAGGAGAGAAATTTGACAGTCATGGCCTAACTACTGAACCACTTCAAAAAACAGCTCTTTCAAAATGTATTTCCACTACCTTTTACACAGCCCAAACACAGAGAATCTCTGTTTCAAAAGATTTGAGATTTTTAATCCTCACATGAGTCACACAGTTTTTTTCAATTTATCAAGTAGCTAGAGAGATTACATACATCTGACATAAGATATTGTTCAGGGTGTTTTTAATGGATCTTGAAAACATCTTAAAGCATCACATTGCTGGTGACTCCTCTGCATTGCTGAATACTGGGTTATTGGGTTATTCTTTTTTTATTATTATTGTGGGGCTTTTTACACTAATCAAGGATTCACTTCATTAAACCTTCTTGTTCCTGCAGGAGGAAAAGCCAAATTTTGTCCTAGTTGTCAAAGCAGGATTTTGTTTCGTTCTAACTGCTGATGGTGCTAAAATTCTTGTTAGTCTGAATGAATCCATGAATGAAAGTTTCTGTCCTGCTCTTTTAAAATACACACCTTCAAACACAGATGTCATATCTTCATTTTTTTTTTCAAAATCAGAAAGAGAACTCCAGACTACCTGGGAATAATTTATCAGAACCAGAAATGGTGTTGAAAAGGTAACAGAGAGAAAAGGAAAATGTAAATATATAGAAAATCCGACTCTTTGTAGTAGATATTAAAAGCAGGATTTTAGGATTGGTTGCTATTATATCTGCATTTTTGAAATAATTCTTCCATGCCAATAGACACGACACTTCTACTTTTCCAATTTAATGTCTTCATTGCTTCCTTTAAATATTTAAGGTAAAGAATTCATACAAGTTTTTATTTCCTTTCTATATAACCTTTTCTCTCCCCCTCCTAAAAAACATTTTTGTAAGTATGGAGAAAAAAAAATAAATTTATCATCTAGTACAAATTAAACTTATTACTAAACCCTCTCATCCACAAAGCTTTGTAGTCCAGTATACAGATCTACTTCTGTTTTAGAAGTGTTCTATTGACCATTCAGTCTTCCACTCACTCCTAGAACTAGGGAGGTCCCTAATCATTCTTAAATGATCTAAAGATTTAATAAAGCCCTATATGAACCCACACCTGTAACCTTCTTGTTCAAGAGGCATAATCAGAGCTCTGAGAGAAAAGGCATGAAGGTCCAGTAGCGTTGTTACAGCTTTTAAGTTACAACATTTTTAAATATATATATGTGCACATATACATAATATGTATACAGAGATATACAATCTCTGGTGTATAATTTTTATTTTTCAGTAAACTATAAGGAATATTCTTGTAGGATTCACTTGATTTGAGAACTGTAACTTCAGTACATGACAACTATTACATCTTAAGACCTAGTGATATATGGAAAAACTCTAAACCACAGTCTCCTAGAGTAGATAATAACAAACTGGAATAGGTGCTGCAACCGTGTTTCAAGGACTAAAGTAGAATAAAGAGAAAATTTATAATTTATTAACTGTTATAATAAAATTTTGAAAATTATGCTTATGCAATCTATGACTGGCAAACCTAAGCAAGAAAATTCTTCAATTTCAACTTCACCACAGCTTTTAAATATAATGATGTTTGTATTTAAATACTGTTTTCCAAAAACTAGATTTCATTAGACTTTTAAAAAAATATTAGTATCACTTGCGATCAGGTATAGAAATTTCTCAGAGGGGTGTTCTGTATCACAGAGTGGTATTTTTATGTTGTTAATTTCTGATATGCTAGAAACTGGACTCTAGCATTTTGAAAAATTGGATTTTCTGTGCAGCTGGTCATTGAAGGGCTGAAGATGTATGAGTGACAACCACATTGAATTTAACATGAAATAATTAGCATCCATTTGACTTTCAAATACATTGTAATACCAAGAGAACATTCTAATAGATTTACAACATGTAAACACACTTCCTCTCAGGCAAAAGCAATTGGAATTAACATACACAGAGCTGACCTGCTGCCCTGGGGTCCCTAAACCAGGACACCTGCCCACTTACAATTAGGATAAGCAACTAAACTACTACCTATTTTCACACACCAGATCTGACACTTCTGGTTGCATACATTCTTCTCCAGTGCCATTTTTGGGCACTGACTTCTCCAGTGCCATTTTTGGGCACTGACTTCTGTATGTTAAGGAACAAACAAAAATTGTAATATGCATGCACTGGACTCAGGAAGATAAAATGCAATAGCACCTCTCCAAAAACCAAACCAAAGGAAGTACAACAGAACATAGCTATACACTATGAAGACATTATAAGACTTTAAAAATACAAATTCTAATGATTATATAGAAACACAGGTGGCCATCCAGCAGTCTGAGGTAGTAGTACTGAACACCCCCCTCATTTACCACTTACACAGTTTACTGTCTACTGCACTACATTTCCAGCTCTGGTAAGCTGAAGTCCCCCTCATGAACAAAGGCGTGGAATTGTGACACTTCTCCCAGCTGCTTATAGAATATTTTGTCTTCCTCTTCATCCTGTCTGGGTGGTCCATAACATATTCCCACCATGGTGTCTACTTTGTTGGCCTATCCTCTGTTTCTTACTCATAAACACTCAAACTTATCACTACCATTATTAAGCTCTGGACAATCAAAACACTCCTTTACATAAAGGTCTACCCCACTGCCTCTCCTTCTTTGCATATTCCTTCTGAAGAATTTGATGTTTATACATAGTAAGAAGTCACAAAACTGAAAATTACTGAAAAACAGCTAGGAAAGAGAATGTCTGGAATTCCATTACCTGGAATCTGAAGAACTTATAAAGGTAATATAGTCAACAGGTAAAATAAACTTACATAGATAAAATATGGGAAAATTAATATATCTTCATATACATTGTGTGTGTAAATATATATAAATATATATCATAAAAAAAGCTTTACAGGAAATAACAGTGCTGTTGAAGACTGGAGCTTCATAATATATTTATTGTAAAGATATTTAACCAACTAAAGGACATGTGATACCTGATGATATTCAGTTTGGTCATGACATTGAAATAAATCAGTGAAACATTCACAGATGCCCAAAACAGTACCTCTACAGATGCTTTATATACTTGTAAACAATGGAAGAATATACCAATGTATAGTTAACATACTTGGGAGTCTTTTGAAATCACCATATGCTTGGTCACTAAGTAATCTCTCAACAATTTTCAACTGTATTTGTCTGTGTGTTTGTGTGTTTGTGTGTTTGTAATAACAAAGTACTTCACTGTTAAATTAGTTACAATGCATATGAGAGGGCATCTTTATATCTATTCCCATCCAAGAGGAAATAAAGATGATTTAGTTAATTTATAAATACATACGAGAATGTTGATTGTTGGGAACACTTACTTAGTTAAGGAAATTCTTTATAAAAACCATTTTTTTCCAGTCTAATGTGTAGAAACAGTCACATCATATATTCATAAGGATAGAAATTATAAAAAAATTGCAGTATGAGATTGAGATTTTAGATAAATGTTTTTTCTTGCTAACTGCTAGAAGCAGCTGTTCAGTACAGTCATTAAGTCCAGAAAATTTAGCTGCAGATTCTTGGTACATGTTTTCATCCAGCAATGACACCATATGCATGCATTCACAGAAACTAATGCAACATATTTTAAAGAACGGTAATTCAGGGATGTAGAAGTTCAGCCTAACAGTAATTCTATATCTTAGAATATGATTTTACCTCGATTTATTATTTTTTAAAATGCTGCAACTTGTGTCAAAAGTGGTGGAGAAAAATACATTCACATATTTTTTTCCAGAAGTCAAATTGATTAATTTTTTTTCTCCAAATATATAGATTTCTATTTTAGAATATACAAATGTACACTTTTTTCACTTAATCCCATTAAGCCCTTTGGTGTCAACTAGAGCAAAAATGAGTGATCAAGAATGAACAATGACTTAGGATGGTTTTGTAAACCCAATGTTTAGGTGGCCCAATACAATGGCTATTAAAAACATTGTTTTCAAAACACCTGTTTGTTTCACAGAATCACAGCATAGGTAAAGTCAGAAGCGACAACAGTGGGATCATCTGGTCCAACCTCCCTCAGGGTCATCCCAGAGCACATGGCACAGGATTATGTCTAGACAGTTCTTATCTCCATATACCTCCACCATAGGAGAGAGTTCCATATAGTTTTTATCTCTTATATCTCCACCAAGGGAGACTCCAAAACCTCTCTGGTTAACTGTTCCAGGGCACTGTCACCCACACAGTAAAGAAGTTCTTCCTCATATTCAGGCAGAACTTCCTGTGCATCAGTTTCTACCAACTGCCTCTTGTCCTTGCTTGGCATTACCGAGCAAAGCTCCATCCTCTTGACACCCTCCCTGCAGATACTTATGTACAGTGACGAGGTTCTCTCTCAGTTGTCTCTTCTTGAGACTGAACAGGCCCAGCTACTTCAGCCTTTCCTCATAAGAGATGCTTCAGTCCCTTACTCAACTTTATTGCCCTCTGCTGGACCTGCTCAAGGAGCTCTATGTCTCCTCTGTCCTGAGGAGCCCAGAACTGGACACAGCACTTCAGATGTGCCTCAGCAGGGCAGAGCAAGGGGGCAGGATCACCTCCCTCTACCTGGTGGCAATGCTCTCCCTAATCCCTCCCAGGATCCCATTTGCCTTCTTGGTCATAAGGACATGGCTGGCTCAGGGACAACTTGTCAACCAGGACCCCCAGGTTCTTCTCCATAGAGCTGCTTTCCAGCAGGTCACTCCCAGTGCCTGTCCTGGTGCCGGGGTTATTCTGTCCCAGGTGCAGAAGCTAGCACCCTAATTTCTGAAAATCAAATATTTTCAAAATTACTGTCATAAAAGTGGAGTCATCTGAAGTGCCAATATCTTAAAAAATTTGCCATATGAATTCCTTTTAATGGATGCATCAACTCAGTGAGGAAGAACATTTCCCCATTCCAGAAAAGTCATGGATTATGACCCTGAATTGTGCTTTCACAAAACAAAGTCACAACACAAAAGATTTCTCATATTTCAAGTTACATGAAATTCTTAAGAATTAAAGGTTTCCCTTTTTACAGAGAAATTAATTACATACCTGATAGGAGGAAACCAAACAATCATTCCTACCAAAAATACTAACTTCAGCCATCTTTTAAAGAAAAAAATATTACAATCATATATATATATATATATAATGACATATTCCTTGTGCCCACCAGATCACATTTTTTTGTAATTTTCAGAAGCACAGTCATTATAAAATGCCAACATTAATTTACACACAGTTAGAAACCTACCTTCCAATAAACTGCACGGCTTCTTTTGTCAGCCTCTTAGTAAGGTTCTCATAGGACAGTGGCTGCTGGATAATCTGATGGTCCCTCATTAAAAAGCAGTTTAGGTGTCGAAAATGATAGAAGAAAAAAATCAAAATCACAAGTGAAATTGTGATTATTAACAAGAAGTAACCCAATGCTTGGAAGGGTACTTTGAGAAGGCCAATGTACTGCACTATTGCCAAAGACACAATGGCAATTCCAGTGATTTGGATTGGGATGACAAGGTGTTTCTGAACCCCCTTTAAAAACACGCTGCCTTGGCCAGGTTTGCAGTCTCTCAGATTGGTCACGGGAAGGCCATAAAAGTAATCAAATCCATGACTGAGGGGGTGGTGACAGAAGTCATTACTGCTTTCACAGTTCATCCCAAGATGCCACTTTCCTACAATGAGAGAAGGACAGGGAGTGTTCTTGTAGTTAAATCATCAAACTTACTCTTAATGTGCATTATTTCAAACACAAAACCATCACTATCTGACTGATATCCCCCTGCTCCCAGCATTTATTGTGTGGATCCCTATCTTCTGTTTAAAATTTCTTTATGCCTTCATCAAAGATTTTTTTTTTTTTTTTTTTTATGTCTGCCTCTTCATCTTAGTTAGAAATAGTTTGGCATGGCTATGATGAATATATTAATGCTGAAGAGCATTAAATTTTGAGTAGGCTAGCTGGTCATTGAAGAGCAACAGAGCACTAACAGACAGTTAACTTTGGAAATTAAGCTTTTGTGCATGTGAAGTTGTCATAAAAAATGATATTTTGTAGCAGCTACTGATTGAAGAGGAAGAACCAATATAGATTTACAAAACATCTTTTCTGAAATTTTTCTGGCAAATAATTTGACTTGTTTTAAAAAAAAAGGACAAAAGAAGAAAAAAAAAACAGTAACAAATAGAAAATAAATCAAGAATATGGAAATTATTAAAGCATTTATTAAATGATTGCAAAATCTCTGGAATTGCCAGTATCCCTCAAAATACACATACATACAGTGAGGCTGATTATTTTGTATTTATATATTTCATATACATAAATAAAAAACAACAGTAACAAGTAAATTTCTGTCAAATACTATCCCTCACAGCACTTTATCCCACTAGGAAATCACTCTAATTCTGTGATAATGTTGGACACTGTCTGACACAAGAAATCACTGAGCCTGATTTGCATTATACTAATATAATCTATATTCATGCTGATTATGGTAAGTGTCTAGATAATTTGTTCTATGACTCAGGTACATCCTCTTACCATATGCTTATGCATTGCTTAGCACAACAGACCTAATTGGTAGCTGTTATTTGAATCAAAATGCATAATTATAAAAAAAATTCAAATTCAGTTAAGCTTATTGGGATAGATTATGAACAGAGCTATGCTCTTTGCTCTCAGCAAGAAATTGCTGATAAAAAAAGAAAAAAAAAAAAGCCACGCTGGCCTTGACAAAACAGATGACATTATATACTGCTGGGCCAAAATTTATTTATTTTTCTGAATCAAACACCTAAACATGACCAGCATAATTCAGGGGCTGTGATCAGAAAAGAAATAAAAAAGAAAATCTTCAAACCCAGTAAGACTTCATTCCCCTAAGCTAGTGCAAAGAAATTTGAAATATTTGTTTTAGGGACATCAGAATACACATGGCAGTAAATTAAAAACTGAAAAAAATAGCATATACAGAATTTTCCCCTTTTCCAAACTTCCATCTTTTATGCATCTGTAAGAAAGTCCTGATGTAAACAGTCCTGAACATCTTTTCCTGGGTCTCCAGAACAGCATATTCATCCTGCACTTTTTCCTTCAGCTGTGATAAATGCAGGTACTGCACTACCAAAGAGGGTGAATGTGGGGATCAGTTCTGCTTCCCTTTAATTTTGCCAATTAGCTGGATGTTCTTGCTTCTCTTCCACAAGTAACAGAACTGAGGTACAGGATGAAAATGTCATATGCCTAAATTCATCTGTCAGCAAAGGTGGAGAAAAAGCAGAAATCTTGAATCTGAGTGCTTAGTTGAGTCGAGTTGTCCTCATACGTCTCTTGATGGTCTTAAGTTAAAAATAACTTCTGGATATCATCAAAGTAGATATAAAACATTTTCAGGTCTGCTTATTTGCCAGTGAAATGAAGGCCTCTATACCTTTCTCATTCCATCAGAACTTTTCCCTGTCAGATGGCCCCTCACCTGAGGTGGTATTCTGGTTTTTGTGACCAGAATGGTTCTGGTCACTACTTTTGACATGGCCCAGTGAAAATTACTGTGGTCAATTAAAAAAACAAGCAATATACACCATTGTACTGAAATTTCAGACATTATAGTGGTGATATAAAGGGCTAGGTAAGGCTGGAACTCAGATTTTCATTCCAAGCACCCAAAGATGCAGATTTTTGAAAAGAAATGCTTCAATTTTTTTTTTTTTTTAGGTTTGGATGAGTGTCTTGATGGAATAATCATAAAGCCAGATGTATAACAAAGTGAGCATGAAACAACTGCCATCAACTTAGATAAGTGATTTAAAGACAGAGGCTTATAATCATGAACATAAATGATCCTAAGGCTTTCATTTGAATTTTTTTTCCTATTATAAATTAATCTCAAAGCACCTATAATGTAAGAAAATATGACACAGAAAGTCAAAAAAATTAAGCATACTTTCAAGGTCACTTATTATGACATGGAGTGGTTTTTTTAACTGGATCTCCACTACAGCCCAGGATAGAAAAACCTTGCAATAACAAATTAGGACAGGGGGAAATATAGGTCCTATTTTTATCGAAAGGGCTTTAACAAGCACAACAAATTGTTCAATGTCAAGACAAACTTGGACCTCAGAAAAAGATTTGTTGAGAAGCAACTTAAGCCAAACAAGGCAGAGATCAGGTTAGCAGTAGAAGCAACAGAAGCCCCAGTTCAAATTATATCGGCAGCTGTGACGGAATGACACAATTGCCATTCTCAAATGGCTGGGGAGGTAGAAGGTTTTGATAGATCCTTAACTGCTCTGAAAAAGCAAGTGATGACTGGGTCCACAATACATGTTTTGTTTCATTCCTTGTGACAATAACCCCTGCCTTGAGCTAGTGCTTGAACAGATTACTATAATGTGCTTTAGATTCTGTGGCTCTTCTGAATCTGAGAGCAATGCAAAATGCTCTCATCTCTTTGCCAAGTGATGCTTCATAGAATGGACACTTCACACAAGCATCATCAGCATTTCACCAGATTCTACCAAGCTTTTGAGTGAAATTTATGCTGCTAATTGTAAATTATGAGTAGCGTAATAATTTGAGACCTAGGCTTCTTTCCCTCTCTGTCAGCCACAATTAAGATTTCTGCAGAGTAAAAGCAATGCAATGAAAGGCAAGTAGAAGTGAGGGGCAAGCCCAACTCAGCCAAGAAACTTCACTTGAAACTCCATTTTTCAGAATCCTGAGGACACTACAGAATTCCATGTTTCCCCTGTATTTGTCCCTCAGATAGTGGTAAAGGGAGCAATATGAAGATTGATCTTTATATGATGACATATGATGAGTTCTTTTGGAATGATTTTGTGCTTTTCAGATAAATGGCAAAATACAAGATGTGGAGCAAGATGCTAACAGAAATATTTTATCTTCTTAAGGAAATATATTTATTTGAAATATATAGCAAAAATTATATGTATGTGCATATGGTATTAGCATTATTTTAAGCTGTTTTATGAATAACTGTTGTATTAATTCCACTCCATAAACTCAGTCAACCTTGAATTGGACACCTTACTACTGCGATATGACCAAACATTACAATACTTCATTCTGAAAGAAATAAGTACCAGTTATCAATTAGTGTTTTAGCTTTAGAGATAAGCTACATAGGTGGATTTTAAACTTCTCTGGATGCTGGACAACTGGCTGAATAGCATTACTGAGGAAAAATTAACCTTTACTCAACCGTAATTGAATATAGCAGTAATTAAAATACTATTTATCCAATTTTAGGAGAATTTTTGCATTATGAATAGCTATTTCCAACAAAACATCAGAACTTCTTCCCACTGGTGAAATATTATGTATTCTATATATCTGCTTTTTTTGATAGAACTTGATTTTGTTGCAGATCTGATTGTGTGCTTTCCTGACAGATCTATTGGTTGTCACCTTCTTTATGTCACAAGAGAAAACAATGAGGTAGAAAAGTGAATACATAAAGTAAATTTATAGCTAAAATATATTTTGAGACATATCAAACAAAAGGAAGCATATATTCAGAGGTGAAAAATTTAAAAAAAAACAATTAATTGTTTGGGAACTGCTGTGTTAGACTGAACCAAGCAAAGACTCCTTGACCTAGAACAGTATGATGTGATAAGAAAAACAGAAAAAACAGAGAATGGACTGGTTGTGAATCAGACTGCCTATCTAGTCTTCAAATCTATGTAATTTTTCTTTCTGTCATTTACATATGCTTTATCCTTAATTTTAATGCACTTCTTGATTTTTGGAAACCTTCATTATACTCTAAGGATATGGTAATATTACATTTTATGGTCTCATTCAGGCCACTTGGAAGAATTGTTCATTAAGTATCATGGAGATAACTTCTGGAGATCTAAGTAGCAAGCTGTCATGTTACAGCAAAAGTAGTTAAAAAAAGAACATTAACTAGGTCAGCCCCAGAAAATGAGTTGCATTACTGTGCTTGCTGCAAACAGAAAAAACCCAGTCTCTAACTGAATATGGAGAAATAGGAATTAAGTCCATAAGGAACATGACAAATTATGAAAGGTGTTTTTGTACTATGGTTTCAATACACCTACACTAAATGAACTTCTGATAAGAATTTCTGGTATTCTATTTTCATTCTTTCAGGACATCATGGTATTTTATGCTTTATAAGACTGGGGTACAGCTAAGTAGGATTTTTAGTTAGAACACTGACATTGGTTTATCTACATTATACAGACATTTTTTGAACAGTGGAGTGAATTGTAAGTCTTGCTAAACAGCCTGGTTTTTTTTAAAACAAAAATTACTCTCAAAATTGCAAGTCTCTGTTTCATTTAAAAAACAAATTGGATGCCTCTTTCATCTAAATTCATTTAGTAATATTCTAGTATGATGTTCTCATAGCTATTCCCTGGCAATTCCAGTATAGAAACACATTATGTAATATAAGTTGAACTTCACAAAAATCTTCTAAAATATAAGCAGTGTGGAATAAGTCAGTGGCCAAATTAAGAAAAAAATTCAGAAATCTTTAATGTTGTACCTTTATGATATTAATTGCAATTCTATTTAATATTAATCTTGTATGATTCCTTTTGCCCATCACTGGATATTTATGCTGTGATCAGTTATTTGAACTATCTTTATAACGAGAAATACATTTTTATATTAAATATCTACCTAAGTATATGAAAAATTTCCTAGAAATGCCCATTTCTGTCTGATGACTAAGATGGTAGCCCAGGTACAACATTATTTACTTTATGGTAATTTGAACACTGGTGAAATGAAAACCACCACAGTGCTGACTTGTACGCTGTGATCAATACCTCATTGTCTCTGATGTGATCAAACTCCTATTTATACTGAAAACTTTTCAAGAGTTTGACTAATTTTCAGTTTGGTCACCATGTTTCTTCAGTACCTTGCAAAACAAGACTATAAAACATAAGTGAATTAGACGTACTTACCTGACTAGTGTTTCACATAGGCAAGGGAATGTGCCCAGCTTTGTTCCAGAAAAATAAATTGATTATGCTGTGGGGGAGAAAAGCTTAATGCAGACCCTTAAAAGCTGATATGGGAAGCTAATGTTCTTTTCATTGAAATGAAAGAAACAGTGCTGAGCATGTCTGCAATTTTACCTATTAGAGCTGTTGCATAACCTCTCTGCTTCAGGAGTTTGGAAAAAGTTATTTCCTCAGAAGGAAGTCCACCAGAAGAGGCAGAAAATAAGAAGACACCAACTCGTGAGAAGGCAGCCATTCCTAAATACAACAAAAAATGAATGAGACCAGGATAATAGAATTTCCATTCATTAGTTCTGCACACAGTTTTTTGCCTTAGGTGCTATCACCTAAATGGCATATTACAATCAGACTATTGAATCTGAAAACTAAGAGTTGCAAGTGGGAGATACAATTATCCATTTAGCCCAGTGAGGTCTTTTCTGTATTGACACCAGAAACTGAGATGTGGAGAAAAAAATTCTGAGCCATGGGGCCAGACATCAACCAAACAGCTGCAGCCCCTTCTGTAGATTTTCCAAGGTATAGAAAAATCTTTAAGAACTTGAGCCTGCATAATTTATTTTTCTTGTACATAGGGAGGGAAGGAAGATGAGGACTAAGTGAGATGACTCCCATTTTCTCCTTTGAGAATTTCCTCTGTCCTCATATTTGGTTTTCTACAAGCCTTTAAGGTTTTTTGAGAGAAGGCATATTGAAATAGGGCAGTCTTACTGCTGGACATGCAAAATACCATGAGGTCACAAAAAGCAAGAGAGAATCTGATCCTGTAAATAGAGTGGCTTGAGCTCTCAGCGTTGATGGGGTGCTCCAGTGGCATGAAGATACACAGAGTGCACTAAAGGAGCATCAGGTACCAGCTAACAAGAAAACATCTAAGGCACAGTAAGTTCTATATACTAAGAGTCTGAGAAACACAAATGAGCTTATAAACTGCTCTCAGGATGAGGAACTTGAAAGCTCAGGTTCATGAAAATTAGATTACTAGGATTCCAGATGAGAGCTGACACTGAAAATAGACAGTAAGAACAGAGAATATCTATGCAAATCTGTGCAGATGTATCTTCAGGAAGTTTAAATTATGCAACTGGATGATTACAGTGCCCGAATTACATGACTGATGTAGACAACCAGAATCCTCCCTCAGGTATCCCTTGTGGTTACATGAGAAAAAGACTCGTTAGACTCGTTAGGCTGGTTTATTAAAGAGAGCTCAAATGCTAACTTCAGTTTTTCACTCCAGATAGTTTTGCTGATCAACGTTTCAGATAGCTTTAGTTATATATTTATCTATATTTTATTTATTTATATTTATTTTTACGTATTTCAAGTTCTTGTAAGTGAAATCAGTGCAATTCCATTAAATTATCAGAATGAAAGTACAGAAGCATGATTGCTTTTTTTTTTATCATTACCTTTCTCTGAGCTTGTGTCTCATCCAACATGGCATTTTGGAATCCTTTTCGTCAGCTCAGTTAGCAGGAGTTTTATATTTCTAACATTTTTTCGACATCGTGATTCTAGTGTCTTCTACAATAAAGCCTTTACTAGTTCTTCACTGATATTTGAAAGTAACCCATTTTTCAAAATTTTGTAACTTAAGTAAGGGAAAGTTCAATTTTTGTACCTACATGGAAATTATTAAGTATGTCTGAGAGCTGATCAGTGAAGAAAAAAATTAGTTCAAGTGCTAATATTTGAGAAATAAGAACAAGGAACATAATGGAAAGTGACCTGTGGCTTTACGTACAATAAATATTAATAGCAATATATCTGTAACAGGTATATAAAATTTTCCTTTGCAGATGAATGTAATGGAAAATTTAGCAAGTTTATTGCCAGCAATTTAGCTGGCACTTTTGCAGAAGCTTGTTACTTGATTTGAGTGAGCAAGAACGTATCAAGTAGGCTCCAGAGTCTTGCTTTGCTTTCATTCCCAGAAGCAAGGACAGGATGTTTTATCACTAATGAACAAGTGATCTGATTAATGTATAATGATCCTCACTAAAAATTATGTTAAGGGAATGTTAAAGTTGCATGGTTAAGCACTGAGAGGCTCAGTCCCAGCACACTAAAATAAACAGACTAGATCTTCATTGACTCAAATAGGCTTTGGATCAGGTACTTTAAAAATAAGAGAAATTAAATGTATGTATTCACAGGGTACTTAACACTGTGTATGGGTAGATATGGTACAAAAATAACACTTCAAATAGATGAGAGATTTTTGCTCCCTTTCCAGTTTTAGGGGCAACTTGAGTACCCTAATGAACTGTCCTGCCCCTACCTTCTCCCTGAAAAAAGAAGAAAACCAAAACACAGACCTAACAATTTGTCTAAACAAAAAGGTTTAGCAGAAGTAAAAATGTCTGAGAAGAAGTATTTACACTGGCTTATTCCACTGAATCTTTCTAGATGCATCTCTGTGGTGTTCAATACTTGGGTTGTGCACCAATGCAGTGGGAGCAGCCTGAATGCAACCACAGAAGCAGGCAAAGAGCCTGGGATCATTGAATACCGGAGCAATTTCACAGAATCACAGAGAATCACAAGACATGCTTAGTTGGAAGAGATCTACAGGGATCATTGAATTCAACATCTAGCCCTGCACAGGACATGTCCATGAGTCATGCCATGTGCCCCAGAATATTGTGCTTGAACTTCTTGAACTCTGTCAGGTTTGTTGCACACAGCACTGGAGGTGAGGCCACCCTAGCACAGAGCAGCTCGGGACAATCCCCTCCCTTGCCTGGCTGGTGATGTTGTGCCTGATGCAGTCCAGAACATGGCTGGCATTAAATAACCACAGTCAGTTTGCTTTGTAAGTTATTTAAACCAAAAAAAAACTTTACTGACTAAAAAAAAACTATCTTTGTGTCAACTCTTCTGAAATATGAAATTTCCCAATATATATGAAATATTTGAAATGTAGAGCAGCTCTGCTGAGCTGGATCAGTCACTGAAACGACTGATCATTTAGCATTACTTAACCTGGTAATCATAAACAAATCAAGAAAGGCCAGACAAAATCCCTGCATACAGTTTACTGTAAATAAGACATTTATATATAAATAAAGTGATGGGATTTTACCTGATCTTATAGGATATCTCCCTGTCAGGAAAGCTGCCCTGCTTGGAGTACAAAGTGGGGATGCTGCTACATGCTGAGTAAGTGTCACTCCTTCCTCTGCTAACCTGTCAATATTAGGGGTTCTGGAAAAACACAAGCAGGTGAAAAAAAATACACAAAGATGATTATTTTGATATGGGCACGGTAAGCACAAGGCACCTGAGGCAAGAACTATATGAAAATCTAGTTAAAATTTACTATATGTAAATTATCAAAAGTGTGGTGGGGTTGAAATTCCAAATACTATCATGTCAAATATTTTTACATTAGGCGTCAATACTGAACAGAGACACTGTAATATTGCAGCAAAAAGCTTTTCCCCACTTTCTTCTATTCTATATGGCCACTGTTAAACTGCAACGTCTGATCATACAGTATTTCAACCCTTTTAAATGTGTTCCTTGACCAAACTGTAATTTTACAACCTTTTTGCTTCAGTAATGAGGGCGAGAGAGACCAGAGAAAGGTTGTGCTTCCTTACTTCCCACTTGGTGTCTCTTCTGTCGCTCCCCAGCAAAATCTTTTTGGGGTAGGGATAATGTTGTGTGGTGCTATTAGAAGAGATTCAAATTATTATGACTCTGTGTTATGTTCTATATTAACAATATCTACATGTCTGACATGATTATATCTGCTATATTAGACCCAGGGGCACAACCTAGCTTCCATATCTGTATGGGAAACTTGTCTATGACCTGGCTCATCATGCAGATTAAAATTGGTTGCTGCAGGAAGAAATCCTGAGTCCTTGGTTCTACAGATAAAAATTACTAATGCAGACTGGCCAGCAGCTGCAGCATGCTCTAATAGATCTCTGACCCTGGAGATTAATGACCGTGACCTCAAGGCACACTAGTGCTCCCATCATCTAAGTCTGAAAAGTCAGAAACATTAATTTTCCAATGGAATTATTTTCTATCTGTGAAGTCACCTACTGATAACAATCAGTAAGCCGAAAATTCATCATATTCCAAAAATTGAATTCTGAATTCTCCCAGCAGAGAATACAGATATTGGGGTCTTTCTGGTGCCTGTGAGGGGAGTGATCCAAGCATCAGTGTTGTATATATTGTCCCCTGTTTAAAACCAGAAGCTGTAATTTTTATTTTTCTTTTTAAGTTATGAGAAGATTCTGCTTCTAACTAACATCAGCAGGAACAAGAGCATTTAACACTTGACAGAACAGTGCTTTTAGTCTGAATGTATTATCTTACTTTGCCAAAGACTTTGCACCACTGAAACACAATGGCTAGATATCACTTGCTCTGTTTACACAACCCTCACATCTAAGCTGGTAGCAAGAAACATCCCCAGGCACACAGAAGCATTATTCAAATATATTAACATTTGTTTTAATTAATACATTGATTACTGTATGATGATAAATTAAGGGCAAATATCAGTTCTTTATTTACAATTAACAACAAGCTTGTCCCAAACCATAAGTGCCTCAAAATATGTTTAATTCACAGTAGCATTTGTGTCACACATGTTATAGAAGAAAATTGTCAATTATACTTTAGTTCTCTAGAACTACCCTTATTTGGTTGGCTGCTCAATCCTCTGTTTATAATGGAACTTTTCAGCAGGATAAATGCATTAGCTAAGTCTTTGGTCAAAAAAAGAAAATAAGGATTGAATATTCAAATCTCTGGAAAAGTTATTAACTTTGGTTGCCCATAAAAAAACCTAATCAAACCTCTGAATGTTCTGGCATTTTTAATTTTAAAAATCCATTGAAAACTGAATATAAAGGTATGACTCCCCCGAATTAACATCCTACCTTAAGGTTCTGTTCCCGTAACATCCCAGGTCTCCAATACCGAGATCATCAGCCATCAATAAAATTATATTGGGCTTTGAAACACTGTGTGTTTTGATACTATTTATGGCACACTGGCAAATTATTAGAAGTAAAAGGAGCCCCATCTTCTTCCTGGAGTGTAAGAACAGGTGGAAAATATAATAAATAGATTGTTAATCTAATTCATTATTACATTTTGCATAGTAAAAGAAAAAAAAGATTGAATACTTTTAGTTGGCTTTTTTTTTTTCTTGAAAGTTTTTCAAAACATTTCCTTTCTCATATTTCTTAAAAATAAAAATGCATATTTTAGTGTATGACTAAATTTTCATTCCACTCCTTTACACAGACGTAGCCTTTAAATAAAGACAAATAAAGAACTAGATAAAACCTCAGTGGCAATTTGGTTTATACACATGTACTATGGAGCAATAAATCATAAGAGCTAACAATGCTTGAGGCTTTTTTATTTGTGTGTGTTTGTCTTTTTGTTTGGGTTGTTCTGTTTTGCTTTTTTTCCAGCTACAAATGTTATTTGAGGAACAGAGAATCTGAAATCATTTAGGACCAAAACTTTCAAGGCTCACTGCAGAAAAAAAAAAGTTAATCAATTCCACTAATGAAGTAAATGACTGAATCTCTCTTCAACAATGAGGAAAAAAGTCCAGCTGAAGTTTCTGGAAAGGAATAAGTATGATGGAAAAGATGGTGAAGAGATGCACTATGAAATTATTGTAAGGAGTGTTTAAGAAAAGGCTCTTTACAAACATTATAAATACCAGGGTCTATAGCAAAATCAATTAAAAACTGATATCACGTTACAATGTTCTATAAGAAATGCTCATGTCATATCAAACTTAAAACAGGAAGAAGGATGTATTTTACAGCATACAGCATACAACATATGCTTTTATGGTAAAAGCAGAGCATTTGCAGACATACATGATATGAATGCTGTTTTACCGTAATCAGAACTTGTCATGTCTCTGTGTTAAACTGTACTGACCATGCCCTGGCTAAAACTGAGCACCTTCAGGCTGTAATGGACTGTGCCAGGCACCAAAAAGAACAGGGACTCTATTCTGTCTCTTAGTAAGATTCCCATAATTTCTGGATGCAGGCAGCCTTTTTCAAATTCAGGCGAGGCATGAGTCACATCTGCACTTGCATTATTCTCAGAAAAGAAGTGGAAGAAACAAGGACTAAGGTAGAAATTTGTATGTGAAAGAATCGAAAAAGAAGATAGAATAATTTCCAGAGAGAATGGGGATAGCTGATCAAGAAAGAAAAATCTTGTAAATCAATGAGTTATGGGAGTAACTGGTGAGAAGATAAAGAAGTCAAAACTGAAAGATCTGGTACCAAGAGACTAGACATCAAGGGAGACAAATACACAGTGAAATGAGGTGGGTAAAATTATTTGTAGAGGAGACAAAATAGGCAGAACTAGAAGAGTTTACTCTGACTTTAATAGCAAGAATGGAAGGTGAGAACCAGCTGGAATGAGAATTGCAGGCAGAAATGAGGAGAAATGGTAGAAGAATGAAGAAACTGGAAAAGATGACAGTGAACAGGAAAACAAAACTGAGGAACAGAGGTGAGAGAGAACTGGAAATGTCTGGGAGGAAAGAGCTGGAAGTTATGAATATGGTCAATGAAGAGAACTGATTAGAAAGAACCTGGGAAGATAAGATCTTCCCTGAAAAGATAAATAAACGTGATTTGCTTCCCATACTCTCCAAGAGAACAGTTAACACCCAAATTGACCCAAGTGGACAGGAACTGTTGCTGGATTCTATGTTCCTATGTTCTGACTGGAAAGGTCTCAAAGGCCAATAGCAATGGGTATGTTGAAAAAGGGGACATTATATGTTGGTGAAATTATGTAGGGAGCTGCACGGATGCTTGCGAGGCCTGCAGAACATAGCCTCATTTTATACCTCCATTTCTCATTTTGTAAATCAGCCAAAAATAGAGCTATTGAAGGTTGTCTCTCATACAATACTTCTGGATATTTCTCTACTCTGAAGGAGTATTTGTAGATACTCTCACAAATTGAGCTACTTGCCTTCACCTGATATCATGTCCCTGAAGTGAAATCAACAACACAACAGGGAAAAAAATAATCCAAACAACTATGATTCTCTGGTGCACTCTTTCTGCATCAGATTTTTGTGTGTCTTGAAAGGATGTGCACAGAAAGCAAGAAAAATCAGATGGATGAAATTGAGTGGAACAGACAACAGCAAAGAAATTCAAAGGAGTTAAAAGGGTAGGATGTGAGAAGCATGAAGCTTTGAGGATGCTGAGGGCTGTCTGTATTACACCAGGGCATCTCCTGGTGAAAACACAAGCATGTGTAGATCTAACACGAAAATGATAACACAAAATCAGATGAAGCTTCCAGATAACTAATACTTCCTCTCTGTCCAGAGACAATTTAAATTAAGAAAAGATTTTAAAGAAAAAACTGGAAAAAATTTATTTTACTAGCACACCCTTTTAGCTTTTGGCAGTCAGCATTAAAGGCATTTTGGAGAGGAAAACATTGTAATGAATATCTCTCCATGGATCTTTTGACCTTCATGGAGTTGTTATAGTCTATTTCTAATTAATTAGCTTTTTGTTTGGTTTGGTTTTTTGCATTGAAAGTATTTTATTTTAATTTTTTACTTCCATAACACTCTTTAGATGTTCCTTCAATAGGCATCAGCTTTAAAGGTTTGTGTTTCACATTCATCTGGCTACATTTTTCCTTATTTTTTGCATATAGCGCACATAAGTGCAAGTTTTAACATCTGCTTCGTGTTCTCCATGATATAATACAACTAGAAGTAGCTTCTTCCTTTCTGAAGTGGCTGATAAGTTGAATAGATTCAAAGTGTGCTCAATCTCCTACAACCACAGCCACACAAGAATTCATATTTCACGCATCCTATTTCAACCTACAATACTTTAATCATTGTATAGGAACATATAGATATGCATACAAACACAGATCTGTCAATATGCACATACACTCATGTTGGGGCATATACACGTCCTAACTTTTTCTACATATCTCCAAATTGTATTTTTGGAATTCTAATACATATTCTATTAGCATTAAAAAAACCCAAAGTATAAATATGTAAGAAAAAATAAATTAAAGAAAAGCCCCAAGCAGATATAATCCACTATATATATATATATGTATTTCAACAAACATTTATTTTAAATTTTAATTTTCTTCATTAAAAAATGCTAGTCAAAGAGTTGTTTTTTTGTTTGTTTTTTTTTTAAATCAGGATAACTGACTCAAGAGATGTCTGTCATAGAATTACAGAATACTCTAAGCTGGGGAACTACAGTTAAAAGGATTATCAAAGTGCAACTCCTGGCCCTTCACAGGGCATCCCCAAGAGTCACACCATATGCCCAGGAACATTATCCAAACACTTCCTGAACTCTGTCAGGTTTGGTGCTGTGACCACCAACTTGAGGAGCCTGTTCCAGTGCCCAACCATTCTCTGGGTGAAGAACCTTTTTCTAACATCCAACCTAAACCTCCCCTGGCACAAGTTCAGACCATTCTCTTGAGTCCTGTCACTGATCACCACACAGAGGAGATCAGTGCATACTCCTCCTCTTCCCCTCAGGAGGAAGTTATAACTGCAATGAGGTTTCCCTTCAGTGTCCCTTTCTCCAGGATGAACAAACCAAGTGATCTCAGCTGTTCCTCATAAGGCTTTCCCTCAAGGCTCTTCACCGTCTTTGCTGCTCTCCTTTGGACACTCTCTAATAGTTTAATGTCAAACTCTGTGGCACCCAGAACTGCCCCCAGCACTGGAGGTGAGGTCACCCCAGGGCAGAGCAGAGCAGAACAATCCCCTCCCTTGCCTGGTTGGCGATGCTGTGCCTGATGCCCCCAGGACAGGGTTGGCCCTCCTGGCTGCCAGGGCACTGCTGGCTCATGTTCAACTTGCCATCGACCACGATTCCCAGATCCCTTTCCTGGTACTGCTTTCCAGCCTCTCCTTCCCCAATCCCTCCTCCGTACATCCAAGGTTTCCCCACCCCAGGTGCAGAATTTGGTACCTGTCGTTGTTGAACTCCATATAGCTGGTGTCCTCTAATTTGCCGAGATATCTGCAGGGCTTCTCTGCCTTCAAGGGAGTGAACAGCTCCTCCCAATTTAGCATCATTGGCAAGCTTATTTAGTGTATTTTTCAATCCTGTATTGTTTATGAAGATGCTGAAGAGCACAGGGCCAAGGATGGAGCCTGGTAGAACCTCAGAGGTGACAGGTCACCAGTCTGATGTCACCCTTCACTGTAACCCTTTGTGTCTGACCCATGAGCCAGCTGCTCTCCCATCACATGATGTGTTTATCCAGCTGTGTGCTGGATAATCATCTGACTACTACGAACACATGCATCTTTACAAGAACAATTAAATGAAGATCTTTCAAACATCTCTTCCCAACTGAATCATCAGAATTTTTTATTAACTTTGATTAAGCAATTTATCTGTAAACTACTCTTTTAATGTAACAGAACCCTTTGAGAAAATGCTTAATACACTTAATCCTGGAAGGTACAGTATTTTCTGATGAAATAAACAACATTTAAAGATATTGACCTAATTAAAAAATGCTGTGCTATCCTTAAGCAGTATGCAAAAAAAGAAAAAAATTTACCTTGCTTAACTGAATGTTTGAACTCCAAAAATTTCTCTAAAGTCATAAAAAATCACAGTGTAAACAAACTAGAGAAAACCCTTCCCTTCATAAGATTCTGTAGAGAAAATTCTTCAGCTTAGTGAGAAACTAAAAAAAAAGAGTAAACTTATAAATTTTAAGAAATGACAATGTAATCTTATGTATATAATTGATTATTTTATGGTATCAGTTTAAGATTTGCTAAATTCTCTCAGTTAATTCCTCTCTTACAAGTCAGTAATATCTGTTGAATCTTTGATGCAATATAACTGCTTTTCTGAAACTTTTCATTATATTTCAGTATGCATCTTAACTATATAAATATATGAAAATCTGTCTTTATTTGACTAAAAGTTGTCTCATTGCAAGAAAGAAATTTCACTTAATATAAGCCGTGAAAAACATTAAAACAAATAATTATTTCTTAACCGAA